ACCGCGGCCCCCCCCCCCCCCCTCCCCCAGTTATTTTGCGACATGTGTCTGGTAAGGGACGTGTCTCCGACCTTCTAATTAAGCTACGCCCCTTCCTTTAATCACTATTTTCCATTTATTTTAATTCTGAAATTAAGCTAAGGGGGCGCTTATAAACATGCTCTAAGTAATCCATATGACTCAAAGACTACTTGCATTTTTTGTTGACTTTTAGATCACAATTAGGTTTACCATCTTCTCCTAGTTTTAGTAATTACTGTATAAAATTCGTGAAATAGTTTGAATAGTAGTACATGAAATAGTATTACTTTTATCTTTTCTTTTTTGACATCAAACGGTTGCTCTATTACTCATGAAATAGTATTACTTTTTACTCTTTCCTTTTACTTCTATGACTAGGTGATTTTCTCGTGCTCATGCACGGGTATGAATATTCATAAAAGTAAAATTTTATAATAATTGATTGATATTTAGTTTTAGTTTTGAATAAATTTATATGTATAATTTATATTATTCTAATTAATAACTGATTGATATTTAGTTTTAGTTTTGAATAAATTTATATGTATAATTTATATTATTCTAATTATACATATGACTATGGATATATTATTGTTGGTTTAATTATTTTTTGGATCAATAGTCGGTATGGTTATCAATTTCATATATTGGATAATATCTATTTTTGAATTCGGCTATAATATTTTTATTCTAAATATAATAAAACTTTGATTAATTTTCTTATTTTTATTTCGGTTGGTTATTGTCTTAGATATGTAAATATATTATAGTAAATTATGTATAACTTAATATATATTGTGCTTAAAATGAAATAAATAATAAGCTGAAGTGTTTGATTCAAAATTACATAAATGAATATAATGATAACTAGGTGATTTTCCCGTGCTCATGCACGGGCATGTATATTTATAAAATAAATATACAATAATAACTGATTGATATTTAATTTAAGTTTTAAATTAATTTATAGTTTGTATGTCTAATTTATATTATAATATTTAATTACTTTAATTATATAGATAATTTTAGATATGTTATATTTAGTCTGTTTTATTGTTTTTACGGTCGATTTAGTTATCATTTAGATATATTGGATTCTATATATTTCTCTGAATTCAACTATTATCTTTTATATTTTAAATATATTAAATTTTTGATTAATTGTCTTATTTGCATTTATGCTGGTTGTTATCTTAGAAATATAAGTATATTTAGTAAGATTATATATAACTTAAGATTTTTTTGTGCTTAGAAGGAAAAAAAAAATAAAAACTAAAGTTTCTCATTCTAAATTACATACATAAGTAACTAATGAATTTTTAGAAGATTTTGAACACATACCAATATTTACAATAGTTAAAATATTTTATAAATTCTGAATAAACTTTTGCTTTAGATTGTTTGGATGGTAAACTGAAATTTATTTTAAATAATTTTAAAAATAAGGATTCTGATTTGCTTAAGTATTTGACTATGGTTATATTAAGTTTCACAAACATAAAAACATAAAATTAAAAATCAAAAGATTTATTAAGAAAACAAATAACTTTAACTATTAAAATATAATACATCTACCTCGTGAAATTATATAGTGTTATGGTATTTTAAAATAATTGTAGTTATTTTCTGTTTTTATGTTTGTGAAACTTAATATAACCATAATCAAAATACTTAAGTAAATCAGAATCCTTATTCTTAGAACAGATAATTTTAACTATTAAAATATAATATATCTACCTCGTTAAATTATATAGTATTATGATATTTAAAAATAATTGTAGTTACTTTATCAAAAGATGTTTATCATTAAATTTATTTTTAGTTTTATTTTTAGTATCTCTTAAAATAGTCAGTAAAAAGTGATTGTTTTTGAGAAATTATACTATATAAGTAAAATAGAATTTATATTTTTACTGTAATTGTAAGATATTATCGTCAAATAAATATACTAAAAACTAATTTCAATAATACTAATTATAAAAAAATTCAGTTAAACATATATCAGTTTATGTTAGTTGATTATTTTATGTCATCATCTAATAAAATAGATGGATATATACAAAAATAATTATTTTGAAAATATATATATTTTATTGTTTAAAATTATTTTTTAAAATATTTCTTTTTCTAATAGCAATAATTTTGTGTGAATTTTTTTTATGAAATCTCATTATATACAGATATTTTTTTTATCTAAAAAGATATAGGTATAAAGTATTTTATTACTTCAAAGGTATATTTTATGTTATTTAAAATATATTTAAATTAATTATTACTATTTTGTGAACTTTCCTTTTTTTATTAAACCATATTATATACTTATATTTTCGTTTTTAAATAGTTTTGTAAATTTTATAAATGTTTCCTTTTTAATTTATATTGTTATTTGGAAATTTTTAAAAAGGAAATAATATTTAATTGTATTTTTAATTTATTAGGGGTATCATAGTAATCAACCAACGTGAGAATTAACGTGAGCGCGATACCTAAGAAAGTGACTTCTCAAATAATATTATAGAGATATTTTGAAGTCTCATGCATATATATAAATTCTACAAAAGAATTAACTGTAACTGATTATTTTTGAATATTCATGAACATATATATTTTTATGTTATTTAAAAATATATATTAATGGGTGTATTACTATTTTGTGAACTTTCCTTTTTAATAAAGTCATATTATATACATATATTTTCGTTTTTAAATTTGTTTTACAATTTAGAAATATTTCCTATTTATTATATATAATATTTGGAAAAAAAAGTAAAAAGGAAACTAAATAAAAATAATAATAATAATCTTGAAATCTAACAATTCATTAAGGGTATCTACGTAACTAACCATCGCGAGAGTTAACGTGAACGCGACAGGTAGGAAACTGACTTCTCAAATAATATTATAGAGATTCTTTCTTTTGTTAGTAAGCAAATAAGTTAAGTTTCTGAATAAAAAACTTTTTGTAAGCGGAACTATTCTTCCAAAAATATTAATTTAATAAGAAAATAAATATTAAATGAAAAAACAGAAATCGATAACCATATAAAAGATAGTGTATCAGATGATTTCATTACGAATTTTCAAGTGTTGAGTAGTCTAAGCAACTAAAAAAAGCGTTGACATATATCAAAAATAATAGGATAAACTATAATACTAACAATAGGTAATATTCTACCCAAATGAAGGAGAAGATTACATTGACAATGAAAACAAATAACAATTATATTTTTTGTTGTTGAAAAAGTATAACAGTTATAATAAACGAGGTATGCGAAAATTTAGGTACATATTGCCCTTGTACACTGATAACCCTTTTTGTACACTGATAACCCTAAGAACAAGTTTATTTTTGTTCTTACTTTGAATTTCAGTTCCATGATAAATCAATGACCTCGTAGTATCTTGTAAAACGTCATTTAATATATATAGCAGTTTCATTGATGCATGTAATCAACAGATTTGATGTATGATGTTTTAAATATGCTTTGCAAAAAATTTAAAATTAAGATTTTGTGATATATTCGTTGTGAATCAATTTATCTACCACCGAATTTTGGTTTAGATCAATCGATCTATAGTACTGATATTTTTAAAATGTAGACACTAAGGGTTATATATACAAAGTTAATTAGTAGATAGCAAAAGAGTATGTAAATGAGAAGTTAGTTATAATCTGATTGCTTTCAAAAAAAAATAGTTATAATCTGATATGTATCAAACTCCAGTTCTTTTCCTTTTATTGATCAATCCATACAAACATCAAAATCAACCTGATTTGTTTTTCTTTTAACAATATATTCATATAATCACATCCTTTGTGGTTTTGGATCTTAAGAACACATCTCATGACAAATATTAAAGGAAATACAAATTATTTCAATTCAAAATCATCAAATGTGTTCACAAATTCACAAGTGCAAACACCAACGCTGCCATTGTAATAGCAATTCTCCCATATAATTCGTTTCCTGCCACAAAAAAAAAAAAATGAAAATAAGATTAGAGACAGAACCGACCTTTATAAATTGATATATATAGTTTTTGTTCAAAGTATTATGTTTAGTTAGAGCATGATTAATGCAAGTCTCTTGAGATGGATTAAAAGACATCTCTTATATGATGTTTCTTAGTTTTTTTAGTTAAAGTTAAGAAGACCATATTAAGCTAGAAACTACACCCTAAAAGATCCACATTAATCATCCTCTTAGATATCATTACTTTTTCTTTTAACAAAATGGGGTGATGATCGTATGATGATTATGATCAAACTAAACATAAAAATAGATGATACAAAAATATGATTACCTTTAATAACGTTAAAAGAAAACGACCCGCCAAGACTTGGAACGTCCTGTGGCCGCGTGAAAACCAGCGGCGGTGGCGGTTGCGATATAGCTGGAGGCGGTAAAAATAGAGCCGGTGGCGGTGGAGGCGGGGGAGATAGAGGAGGCGGAGATAACGGTGGCGATGGCAAAGCAGAGGTTTGATATCTCAAAAGACATTTAGGAGTAAAGAGGAATGCAGAACCTGGTGAGCCACAACAAGTTGAAACTCTTAAGAGCGCAAATCTGAGACAAACTGTACAGTTAAACCGATCAAGACCAGGACTGCACTGAACCATTGACTCTAACTCATAAGAACCCTCTGTTCCTTGCGTCACACGTTCTTGATCTTCCACGAAATATGGAACCGAAGAGGAAGAAGATACGCTGAGAATCAGCGCGTTGAATTTAACAGCTAGTGTTTCATTGAATGTATCCGAGTTTGGAGCAGAACGAATAGAGTAAAGAACGATGCTTGGTCTGACCTCAAGAACAGAGAAGAAATTAACATTTGAGTAGCGAACCATACACTCTTGGTAGTATATGACCGCTCCTGTGTTAAGGCTACAGTTTGTAGCGATCTCGATTGTAGCGGTTTGGACACAGTCTGAGCATGACGTTGCGGTTGTGTCTCCTCTACAGAGGAACATGCCATGGACTGTGTTGGGGCTAAGACCGACCGTGGCGTTGGAATAGGTTCCTAGTAAAGACCTGGTGCGGAGAGAGGAGAGTAAAAGGTCTCGGTTTGCTTCGTATAGACTGGTTTGTGTAAAGTTTTCGATAGGGTTGCAGAAAGTAGACATGTGTTCAGGTTGAGACATGGTTTGGTGAAAGAGGAAGAAAAATAGAACAGTAGAGAGTGTAATTATGATTCTTGCCATTTTTATTTGTGTGTGTATATGTTCTTTGTTGTTGTGTTCTATGTGAGACAATCCAAAGCAGAGGAGACATAGACTTTATAGTAGAATGAATATATTCAAAATAATATCTAAATAACGGCATTGTACTAATTCAGAGGAATAATACGCATACACTAGTATTGTTTTCATCAATGATTGATATAGACTATCTTTACAAAGTCCAAAACACCAAGTTGAGCGTTTGTATAATTAAGTCAATGAAACAGAACAGAGACTTGGTCCTACGATTTGGAAGATAAGCATTTTGTTTACTGGTGTTGTAGAGTTCAGAGGAAAACTATGTTAAAATAATATTGTTAGCGGAATCTTTACCAACACAATCATAAAGTTGACAAGATTGTAAACTTCCCACCAGTGGGTTTTTTTATTCATTCAAAATAATATCAAAATGATAATGTTGAAACAATCCAGAGAAACAACATGTAATATATATATATATATATATATATATATATGAGATCATCAGATGATTTCACTTGAAGAAAAATATCATAACTTAAACGCATTTGTTAACTTTGGTGTCTGAAAAAAAAAACAGAGGATTAGGAATGGAGTGTGTAGTAATGATTCTTGCAACATCTTCGTGTGTGTTCTTTGATGTTTAACACAACAGAGGAGATAATAGAACCTATGGTAGGAAGGAAGTTTTTTTTTTTTAAGTTGTTGTATCTTTAGTAAGTTAGCTACGATTTGTAATCACCCTACCTCAATTCTTCAAAACTTTTATGTCCATGAGAGTTTTGAAGCAGTAAGCCGATATGGAGAGATATGTGTGACGACCCTCAAGTGTAGGTGCATAACAAGGACATCTACTACCTTGTTCAGTGCCAAAATCTAAGTGGTAGATGCTCTAGAACCAAAAGAGCCTGCAATAGCCAAATCTAAGTGGCGTGCAACTTGTGTTCAGGTTTAGGCAGCTAAGTGAGATAACAACGGAAAAGAAGAGAGAAGCAGTGACTGTAACTATAGTTCTTGCCATTTTGTTCGTTCTTGTTTAATAAACCTAGAGGAGATAGAAAAGATAAACTCAAAATACTTTGATGTTTTACGAACATGTTTACATCCATAATAGCTGAATCTTTACTAAGAAAAAACCATAAAGTTGGACGAGACTTGGTTTATGACTCAAGCAAACACAAAGACTTTAAAACAACTAAGATAAAGACACAAGTTTGGTGCAGAGAGCGAGGAGCAATTACTGAAGACTCATGGCGGCGAATGGGAGAGTTAAACCATGAACGGGATGGGCTTGAGCTGCAGGAGTTATACCCTGAGCTCCACGATTTGGTGTACCAAACATCATCGCATAGGGCTGAACAGCTGGAGTTGTCGTTGTACCTTGACCAACAAGATTTGGTGTACCAAACATCATAGGATAGCGCTGAGCTGATGGAGTTGTTGTTGTACCTTGACCAGCAAGTTGTTGTGTTCCAAACATCATAGCATAGGGCTGAGCTGCTGGAGCTGTTGTTGTACCTTGACCAGCAGGAAGTGGTGTTCCAAACATCATATGATAGAGCTGAACTGGTGGAGTTGTTGCTGTACCTTGACCAACGAGATTTGGTGTTCCAAACATCATCGGATAGGGCTGAACTCCTGGAGTTGTTGTTGTATTTGGTGTTCCAAACATCATAGGATAGGCTTGAACTGTTGGAGTTGTTGTTGTCCTTGGTAAAATTATCATAACATATGCCTGAACTGCTGGAGTTGTTGCTGTACCACCATAAGCTGCAAGATTTGGGGCGCCAAACATCAAAGGCATAGAACCAGAGGTAGAAAAGAACAACCCGGGAAGAGTTGTGGCAGCTGATGATGGAGGATTTGTGGTACCATTAAATCCCACTTGACCAGAAGGAGAGGAGCTACTCGTGGCTCCACACACTGTGCATGCAGATGCTGGGGAAGAAACACCAACACCAGCAGGCTCATGGGGTGTCTGAACAGCAGTGGGGTGGTTGGTGTAGCCAAAAGGAAAACCAGTCATCTTTCCTTGCGATGGCCTAGTAATTGTCCTTATCTGATTCTGACGAAGATCATGTAGGATTGGAGAAGCAAATAACGAGGGCGACACTGTATGAGCAGGAGGAAACCATCCAAATCCACCTGGCACATAAGAGAGTAGTCAATTAGAGAGAGATTTAAACAAAAAAAGATATACATTATGTAATAAAGATTTGAGTTAGTTAGTTAGTTTACCTTTGTCCCCTTTTTGGTAATCCTCCCACCTCAGTTCTTCATGACTTTTATGTCCATGGGAGTTGGACGCAGATATGGAGATAATCAGCTTGCCTTGACCTCCAGAAGAAGAATCAAGATCTGGTGTAGGTGCATAACAAGGATACCTACTACCTTGTTCAGTTCCACCACCACCCAAAAAAGAACTAGTTTGTGGAATTGTTCCAAAAGGATTAGGGGGATAGCTAACAACACCAAATCCTGGCTGTAAAAAGCTTCCGAATGGATTTCTTGGGGAAGGGCCTGAGGGTGAAGAAAAATTGTTTCCACCAAAATATCCAGAAGGAGAGACACCAACATCAGGTCTGGCAAAACCAGCAGGGTAGCCAAACTGTGGAGGAAAACCAGAATCTTGCGCAGGCAAGAAGCGAAAGGATGTGGTGGAAGTGTTGGGTCCATTAGCTTGGACAGGAGCTTGCACTGATCCCCACCTAAGTGGAGATGTAGTTGAGGATGCGGAAGCGGTTGATGAACCAGAAGCAAAAGGAGGAGCTTCCATTGGTACGGAAGCATTAGATGAACCGAAAATGTTTGTAACGTTAGCTTGCCTTGACGAGGAACTGAAAGCAGCAAAACCAGGACCTGGCAATGAACCGGTAGGGCCAGGAGCTTGAGCTGGTTCGGAACTAACAGCAGGAGGAGGGAAACTGGATATGGTTGGTGGAGAGGCTTGAACAGGAGATGTGGGTGTGATAGATGCATCGGCATGAGACGGCGCTGGTTCAGGATTAACCGATGTGGTGGTGACAGGAAGAGGAGCTAGTTGAGGCTGCTCTGTTCCGGAACTCTGATCTGAAGACTCAATCAGCTTGCTCGGTTCGGTTTCTTGAGTGGATAAAGTGGAACCAAGAGGTTGAACGGACGAGTCAACCACATTGCTTGGTTCGGTTTCTTCAGTGGATAAAGTGTCGCAACCACATAGCACTGCCTCAGAAACATCAATCTTCATTCTTCTTTTTTGGTCTTCAAACTGGTAACAAAGGAAAAATCAATTAAAATCTATAGTTTGTGAACAGATAATCAATAGCTTCACTATGAGGAAACAGTCTATGGAAGCGTGCAACATACGCAAATCTTAAGAACTCATAACCCTAATTTCGAAGAGAGAATATCATTATCTAAACCCAAATCAAAGATCACAACTTTAGTTACGAGTAAATTAAATTCTCCAAACCCATAAAGTATTAAAGGACACAGTAAGAGATCAAAGAGGATACTTACAGTGATGGCTTCGACTCGATTCAGAAGAATAAAGACACTAAAAGCTTCGGCCTTTAGGGTTTGTAGAGAGATTGTAAAGTTATAAGATGAAGAGAGAGAACCAATGTCTCTCGTTTCGGTTTATATAGGTGAGGCTCTTGTCATTTGCCAACGTCGTTTTCACGCTTCTTCAGAATTTTGTTTATTTTTCTTTTCTTTTCTTTTATTTTTGTTGATGCAGGCGTTGTATTGACGCCAAACAGTTTCTACAGTACTTTCAAATAGCAAATTTAGTCTGTGGCAGATTTGGGCCCTTCATATGTTTGTTACTTATGGGTCATGTGGGCTAAAAATTCTGTCAAATTTAGTGACTAAGACGATGTAAAACGTATATGTGGGCCGAAGCTCTTGGGAACCTGTCAAAATTTATTAACTATCAATACTATTATTTGCTAAATTGATTTGAAGTGGTTAATATCGTTTATATCTTTAATGAATAATTAAAACTTTTAATATATAATTAACCATAAATAAAAACGAATTTCAGTGATTTAATAATTATCCTTATCTAGAAATATTTTATATTTTGTTATAAAGTGTTCATTAACTTTGAAAATAATTATATTTGTGAATATATAAGTAATTATAAATTAAAAACGAATTCCATTAATTTGATAATTATCCGTATCTAAAATTATTTTTATTGTATTATAAAGTCTTAATCAACCTTGAAAATAATTATATATGTTAATAATTAAAAATAAACAAAAACGAATTTCATTGATTTTATAATTATATATAAAATAATTTATATTCTGTTATTTAATTTTCGAACTATATATAACAATAATTAATATTGTGTTATCCAAAAAATCTTTTACATCATACTTTAAAAATAAAATAAAAGAAAAATAAATCCATATATAATATATATCTATCTATACTATTATTTGCGAAGTGATTTTTCACAACGGAGCTCCAACGTTAAAAGTTGGAGTGGTTAATATCGTTTATACCCTTAATGAATAAAATATATAAATCAGCCAAAAATTAAAAAAATGAATTTATATTTATTTGATTAGATAAATGATTTAAATTATAATAATGATAAGAATTATTCATAATCTAAATATAAATTTAAAAATAAAATAAAAAGATAATTTCTATATATATTTTGTTGTTATCATAAAAATATATTTAATTAATATATAATCAACCATAAATTAGAAATAAATTTCACTGATTTGATGACTATTATTATCTAAAATAGTTGATATTAATAAACCATAAACTAAAACTGAATTAATATATAAGTAACAATAAATTAATTATATTTAAAAATGAATTTTCTGGTTTATCATATTCTCCATAATTTTATGTAATTATACTTATTTATCATGTTTTTATGATTTTGACTAATGATTAATTATTACCCTTAATTAATGACTAAATAAAATTATTATTATATAATTATGAACCGTATATTAATTAGATTTACTACCCTTGATGACAAAGCAAACATAAACTTAATGACTAATTGGATTTATTACTATATAATGACTAATTAGATCTATTACTATAATTAGAAACAAATCTTATTTATCATGTTTCTTATGATTTGATGATTATCATTATCTAGACTAATGATTATAATAAATCTAATTATTCATTATATAGTAATAAATCTAACTAGTCATTAAGTTTATGTTTGCTTTGTCATTAAGGGTAGTAAAAATCATAAGAACATGACAATTAGATTTACTATCATTAATGGCAAAGCAAACATAAACTAAATGACTAATTAGATTTATTACTATATAATGACTAATAGTTATTACTATTTGACCAAAAAAAAAAGATATCTTACTATATAATAACTAAAATTTTCAATATATAATTAAACACAAGTAAAAAACGAATTTCAATGATTTTAGATTTATCTTGATCTAAAACTATTTTATATTGGGTTATAAAATCTTTATTAACCTTCAAATATAATTATAAATATATCATTAATTATAAATTAAAAACGAATTTCATTTATTTGATATTCATCCTTAATTTTTTTTTATATTATGTCTTTATCAACATTGAAAAATAATTATATTTAAAATAGTTATATTTGTTAATATATAATTAATTCTAAATTAAAAACGAATTTCATGAATTTGATAGTTATCATTATCTATTTTTTATGTTGTGTTGTAAGTCTTTATTAACCTTGAAAAATAATATATTTGTTAATATATATTTAATTATGAAAATTAATTCGCAAAGAATTTATGTATAGATAGTTTATATTACTAAAGATAATTTTATTATAATTTTTTGTTATGTCTAAAAATGATATTAATTTATTACTAAATATTTTAAATTTATGAGTATTTTCACATTTAATTTGTGTAATGAGAATAATTTATATGATGATGAAAAATTTTATATATAGAAAAAAATTGTTTAGATTATTATTAAATATTTTGAGTGTATGAAAAATAATTTATTATAATTTATTTAAATTGATTATTTTTTTATAGATATTAGAAAATTATTAAGCCCGCAAGTGCGGGCAAAACGCCTAATATATATTATTTTCGCAATAATTTTTTGGAATGGAGCTCTCACGTTGAAAGTTAAGGTGGCTAATATCGTTTATACCCTTATTGAATAATCAAAACTTTTAATATATAATTAATCATAAATAAAAACGAATTTCAATGATTTAATAATTATCCTTACTAGAAATATTTTATATTGTGTTATTATAAAGTGTTTATTAACTTTGAAAATAATTATATTTGTGAATATATAAGTAATATATATATATATATATATATATATATATATATATATATATATATAAAGGAGAACATACTCTCTTCTCATGAAGCCACCTCATAATTATATAAAATTGTGACACATGTCATTTTTAGTTGCAAAATTAAAGCTTAACTAAACTCTTATGTTTCTTTGTTTCATGGACCATTATTCTAAATTCATGTCTGACCCATTTATTTTTAGAGGTTCACACAGTTACCAACATAAAAAAAAAAAGCTTATCTCTTGACATGAAGCGGTGGCCGGATAAATTCATATAACATTTTAGCAACGTGATGACTCTGTGATAAATAAAATATGAGCTCCATGTTTTTTGTTGTATCATGTTTCATCTTATGTTACCAAAAGATCAGTAGTTATGTGTATGTTGAGAACAACATATTTAATACCACTCTATAAAATATAAGATAACTTGAGTTTTAAAAAAAAATTTTGCATTCAGTATCTACGTTGCAATACTCATTTTCAACACTCAAATATGTTACACTTTTAAAAATTAAAATATTTCATTTGTTGAAAATATCCTTTTGGCATTCATTATTTAAACTGTAATACTTTTTTATTAAACTTTCAATATATTACAGCTTTGAAATAAGGAAATATATTTTTGTACATTGCAAAATTTTCAAGAATAGTATATTTTTATTTCGAGGAAAACAATTAAAAATATATCATACGCAATGAAAATAAAGTGTAAAAAGAGAATAATTAATAAATATAAAGAAAAAAACTATAATATAACAAAATAGAAAACAATCAGAAGCTAAAAGGTAATTTTTATCTATTTGAGGCAGATGTGGTCAACTAAGATAGTAGTGCTTAACGAAGTAGTTGGATAAGAGCTGATCAAATTTATCATTCCATTCGACAAACTGCTTAAAAGGCGAAAAAAAAGCATATTTATCAACATTTTAAGTTTTCAACAAAAAAAAAATCAAAAGTATGCTGGAAAAAGCATGCTAAAATTATAATAAGAATCATTTCAAAAATATCACTATTACTCAAAATAGATAATATGTAAAAATATATAGTTGTTATTAGTAGAATTTGAAATATATGTATAATTGTAATCTTTTGTATTATAGTTCTAAACTTTTCATGTGGTAAAAAACATAAAATCTTAAATACTGAAAATAGAGATTACTTTCAATTTAAAGTAAACTTATCATTTTAAAATATTCACTAAAATTGATAATATATTGTATAATTTTTTCAATTACTAACCCGCCCGTAGGACGGGTCAAACTCTAGTTATAAATTAAAAACAAATTTCATTAATTTGATAATTATCCTTATCTAAGAATATTTTTTATTGTATTATAAAGTCTTTATAAAGCTTAAAAATAATTATATCTGTTAATATATAATTAAAAATAATAAAAACGAGTTTCTTTGATTTTATAATTATATATAAAAATAATTTATATTGTGTTATCCAAAACATTTCATTGATTTTATAATTATATATAACAATAATTAATATTGTGTTATCCAAAACATTCTTTTACATCATACTTTAAAAATAAAATAAAAGAAAAATAAATCCGCATATATATATGTATTCAAGAGTGTTTCAAATTTATTTTCTGTAACAAAAAAAATTTCTTATACTGAAATTTTTGTCATGCCCAAGTATTGATATTTAATTTTTTACTATCTCAAACACATTGGTGTTTTAAAATTAATTTTACGTAATGAAATTTATTTATATTATGATAAAAAATTATATATAGAAAAATTTGTTTAGTTTAGTATTAATTTTTTTGAATATATCAACAATAGTTTATTTTAATGATATTTAAGTTGATTATATATTTACTTAGAGATATTAGTAAAATTATTAAGTCCGCACATGCGGGCAAAATACCTAATCATGCTGTGTTTTAGTCAGAAAATAGTACACATACATTTTGTGTTAAAGGAAGACTGATTACAACGAATGGGTGTAGTATTTCGTTAGTGATAAAGCTTTAGAGCTACTCCAACTATAACGAAATAACACCCAAAAATTCTTTCAAAAAAAAAAAGAAATAACACTCAATTTGAAGTTTTGGTGATCTACTCTATTTTCCATTTCTAATTATATCAGGAACAAGCGTGAAGAGGAGTAAATGTGTGCATCAAAGCCAACCAAAACATTCTTCAAAGGAGTGAATGCAGCATAAAGAGCCAAAGAGGAAATTAATGGTAGAACTGCAGAAGCAAGACTTTAAGGTCCGAAGACTGTATATTTGTAATTCAACACTGACACTTGATTGTTTTACGATTCAATTTGTATTTAGAGATCATATATAGACGTGCCCAAAACTGAATTTTATTTTGGAAACACAATTTTATTCTTGGTTTTGTATTGTTCTTGCTCTTTATAGAACTAAACCGAGTTAAAATCCGTTTATTTCATCAAGATTCATGTCAAATAAATGATACTATCAATAAACTGAAACTTTTATGACAAAAACGTATTAATGTCAAAACATTCATCAATTCATAATACAGAATCAGAAACAACTAAAAATTACTTGAGATAAACCCAACAAGGTGTTGAAAGATCAAACACAACTATACCAAAACCCTAGTCTTGAAAATTACAAATTACAATTCGGAGAAGGCACCTACAGAATCGCCTCAAGTAAAGAGCTACTCATTCATCAGTCACATGGGAAGAAGGGGAACAAGGGCAAAACAGAGGACTCCTCGGCACCTGAAAGACCAAAGACTAATGCTGTCGCCACCTTTCATCCCATTAGCCTTCACGACATCGTTCCACCCACAAACCAAAGCGTAGTTCCAAGAACCATTCATCTCCCATCTCTTGAGGAACACTCCCCACTTCTTAGTGCCTTGATCAACAAGAACCGCCCCCACACCCATCTTTTCGTTGTTGTTGATGTCTTCCTCGATGATTCTCGACTCAACGGGTGTCAAGAAGTCGTGTCGGATCAGTTTGTGGAAAGGGATCGAGAGACGGCTCTGGCTTGGTTTGACATCTGTTTCGAAAAGAGTCTTCTCAAAGATTAGAATCGGGTCTTGCGCTCCTTTCGTGCTTCTCATCAATTGTACCACCCAATACGGAGTATCTTTCCCCTCGTATGTGAATAAAGGTGACACCTTTGGTTTCTTGAAACTACGCATTGGTTCTTGCACGGCACGTCTCTTGCGGCTTGTGTTGTTCTCTGTTAGGCACGAAGAGGAAGAAGATGAGAGGGAACTAGGGTTTTGTGGGTTTGTCTTCTCTGAGGGAATCTTGTTAAGATCGAAGAGTGGAGAAGTAGAAGCACCATTAAGGTTTTGAAGAGGTTTCTTGAACGATGATGATCTCGGTCTTCTTGGGAAGTGATCGAAGATTCTCTGTTCATCTTCTTGTTGGTACAAAAGAACCGCTTTATCCACCAAAAGAGAGAAATTCGACCACGTCTCCGTGAGATCACTGTAATACATACTCATTGTGATCGGAGATAACACAGCAAAAAAAAGAATAAATCAAGTTTTGATGAGGACGAAAAGAAAAAGCCAATTAAGTATTAGAATTGAGTATGAGAAGAGAAAGTGAGAGGAAGAATGGTTTGGGTATGCAATATATACTATCTGGTCTCTCGTTGCAATCAAGCCCTAATTGAATAATATAGCCGTTTGTTTAGTTTCCTTTTTTCACTAGCTCATGTGCAAATTACCGTTAGTCCCTAATTATTCCGTAATTTCCATTTTTCACCGTCTTGAAAATTCAAAAATTAAATAAAAATAAACATATGCCAGAAACAATCATCCCAAGTAAATTATGTAGTGTTGATGAAAGTTGAGGTCTTTACTTATGCAGAAGAAAAGATTCGATCTGGTTGTGGACCAGATTCGAAAAGCTGTTCAGTTCCAAGTTCTAGTCCAGTTCTGTATTAACATTAACCGTCCATTGATTCTTACAATGTTATCTTGACCGTACACGTGTAAGGAGCTGTTACTACTAAATAAAGATGTTGTACTAACTCAGAAGAAGAACATGCATGCAATATTATTGTTTTCATCAATGATTGATAGGCTATTTTTACCAAGTCAAAACCAACAAGTTGAACATTTGTTTACTGGTATTGTAGAGTCCAGAGAAAAACTATGTAAACTAATATTGTCACCTTTGTCTTCACTAACATTTCATATAAAGTTGACAAGATGTGGACATTGTCACCTTTGTCTTTTACTCATTCACTCGAAATAATATATCCAAATGATAATGGTTTCTGAAACCACATTCTTGTGTGTGTTCTTTGTTGTTTAACAAAACAGAGGAGATTAGAGAATCAATGGTAGAGCGAAAGAAGCAGTGACTGTAATTATGAGTCTTGCGATTTTGTTCTTGTTTAACAAACCTAGAGGAGATTGAAAAGAATGTAAAGGAGCTTTTTATTAATAAACTCAAAATACTATGATGTTTTACGACACTTGTTTACATCCATGATAGCTGAATCTTTACTAAGAAAAAAAAACCATAAAGTTGGACGAGCTTTGATTTATGACTCTTAAGCAAAAACAAAGACCTTAAAAACAAGAAGATAAAAGACACAAGTTTGATGCAGAGAGCGAGGAGCAATTACTGCAGACTCAAGCCGGCGAATGGGAAAGTTAAACAATTAACGGGATAGGCCTGAGCTGCTGGAGTTATACCTTGAGCTCCAAGATCTGGTGCACCAAACATCATCGCATAGGGCTGAACTGCTGGAGTTGTTGTTGTACCTTGACCAGCAAGTTGTTGTGTTCCAAACATCATAGGATAAGGCTGAGCTGCTGGCGTTGTTGTTGTACCTTGACCAGCGTGATTTGTTGTTCCACACATCGCAGGATAGGGCTGAATTGGTGGAGTTGTTGATGTACCTTGACCAGCAAGATGTGTTCCAAACATCATAGGATAAGGCAGAGCTGCTGGCGTTTTTGTTGTAACTTGACCAGCGAGATTTGATGTTCCACACATCGGACGATAAGGCTGAGCTGCTGGCGTTGTTGTTTTACCTTGACCAGCGAGATTAGGTGTTCCAAACATCGTAGGATAGGGCTGAAATGCTGGAGCTGTTGATGTACCTTGAGCAGCAAAATTTGGCGTCCCAAACATCATCGAATAAGGCTGAACCGCTGGAGTTGTTGTTGTACCTTGTTGACCAACGAGACTTGGTGTTCCCAACATCATAGGATAGGCTTGAACTGTTGGATTTACAAACATCATAGCATAGGCTTGAACTGCTGGAGTTGTTGCTGTACCACCATAAGCTGCTAGATTTGGTGTGCCAAACATCAAAGGAACAGAACCAGAGGTAGAAAAGAACAACCCGGGAAGAGTTGTGGCAGCTGATGATGGAGGATTTGTGGTACCATTAAATCCCACTTGACCAGAAGAAGAGGAGCTACTCGTGGCTCCACACGCTGTGCATCCAGATGCTGGGGAAGAAACACCAACAGGTTCATGCTGAGGTCTCTGATGAAGACTAGTAGGGAGGTTGTAGCCCATAGGAAAACCATTCAAGTATCCTTGCGGTTGAAAAATAGTTGTCCTCATCTGAGTAGGAGGAGACCACCCTGGCACATGAGAGTAATCAATTACAAAGAGATCTAAAACAGAAAAATGCTATACGTTATGAAAATAAAGTTTTGAGTAGTGATTTAGTTAGTTTACCTTTGTCTCCTTTTTGGTAATCTTCCCACCTCAGTTCTTCATGACTCTTATGTCCATGGGAGTTGGATGCAGATATGGAGTTAATCAGCTTGCCCTGACCTCCAAAATAATCAAGATCTGGTGTAGGTTCATAACGAGGATACCTACTACCTTGTTCAGTTCCAACACTACCCAAAAATGGACTAGGACCAGAAAATGCTTTACTAGTTGGTAGAATTGGTCCAAAAGGACCAGAAAATGCTTTAGTTGGTAGGGTTGGTCCAAAAGGAGTAGGGGGATCTCTAACTCCACCAACAGGGTATAACGGTGTTGGAAAAGCGGAAAGAGTCTTGCCGGAATATTGAGGAGCAGGCAAGAAGCTAAAGGGCGAGGTGTAAGTGTTGGGTCCATTAGATGAGGGAGCATCAAATGGAGATGGAGTTGAGGATGATGAACCAGAACCAAACTTAGGAGCTTGCATTGGCCCGAACGTAGATGGTACAGAAGCAGCAGATGCACCAGAACCGAGAATGTTTGTAATGTTGGCTTGCCTTGACGAGGCTTCGGAAGTAGTAGGAGCTGGCAATGAATAACCGGTAGGGCCAAGAGCTTGAGCTTGTTCGGAACTGACAGCAGGAGAAGTTTGAACTGGAGATGTGGGTGTGGCGGATGCATCGGCAGGAGCATCAACAGACGGCGCTGGTGGTTCAGGATTAACCGATGTGGTGGTGGTGGTGACAGGAGGAGGAGAAGCGAGTGGAGGCTGGTCTGTTCCGGAACAGATTGGTGAAGAGCTTTCATCTGAGGTGGAACCAAGAGTTTGAACTAAAGTAACATTGGTGGGTTCGGTTTCTTGAGTATTGGATATGGATAAAATGCGATGCTGGACACACGTGTCGCAAACGCATAGCACTGTCTCAGACAAATCAATCCTCATTCTTTTTTTTAGTCTTCAAACTGATAACAGAGAAAAGATAAAAATTCAAATCGATTAGTCTCAAACGTCTAACAGATAATCATAGTTTCACTAAGCGTGGGACAGAAGCAACATGGATTTTTAAGAACTCAGAACCTTAACAATCAAAGATCACAACTTTAACTACGAATAAACACCGATCAGTATTATTCTCAAAGATCAGAACTATTTCGGAAAAAGAAATCAAATTATGCAAAAGAACAAAGGAAGAGATGAGAGAGGAACTTACTGAGAGGCAACGATGGCGCGTTCTCGATTCAGGGAAAGAAGAAACTGAAGGACAGCTTTGGCCTTTAGGGTTTGCAGAGAGATTGTAAGATGAAGTGGAGAAACGGATCTCTCTCTGTTTCAATTTATATAGGTAAGGCTCTTGTGATTTTGCCCACGTCCTTTTTACGCTTCTTCAGATTTTTTCCTTTTTTTCTCTTTGCAGGCGTTGTATTGACGCCAAACAGTTTTCTACATTTTTCATATAAAAATTCGGCTCTTCATATATTTGCTACTTATGGGCCATGTAGTGGGCCGAACTTCTGTCAAATTTACTGAGTAAAATAATGAAAGTTTAATTTCTTCGGGTTTAATTTAAAACGTACTAGATTTTGACCCGCCGCGCGGGTGTTTGTTTTCGTTTATAGTTAGTTATATAAATATTTTGTTTTCACTTGTAAATTGATATATATTATAGTAATCAAATATTTACGATATGTATAATAAATCTTTTTCAAACATAATAATACTATATAATAAGTGTTTTAATCAAATAGATTGTTTCAAATTTTCTATATTATACATGTTTTTCAAACATGTGTTTGTTTCTTCTTCTATATTTTATTGTTTGTTCGATTAGTATTTCATTTTTAGATAAATTAATATAAATAGAGCTTGATTAAATATTAGTATACTTTAATTTGAAAAGATAATATAAATTTCGAAGAAATTTTTGCTAAAAACTAAACTTATAGCTTTATAAATTAATATTATAAAGAATTTTTTAAACAATTTATTTTTTAAAGGGATGACTGCCTATTCCCCTCTACAGAAGTTAAACCCTATGTATTCCCACCCAAACTACTAAGCTCATTATAAACCCCCCTACACATATAAATTCTCTTCATATTAACCCCCAATCTTTTTAGTCCTGCTCAATTAAACCTCTCTAATTAAAATTTCGAAATCAATGTTAAGCTGTAAAACGCGATTCTACAAAAGTGCTTTCCATAGCTAATTACGTTTGCAACCCGACCCGAGCTAATTGTGTTTTGCAATTGATTTGGAAGACAACAGAGTGAGTGAGAGAGGAAAACGAGAGTGACGAAGAACAGAGTGAGAGAAACAAGAAAGAAAGTGACGAAGAGCAGAGACAGAGATAGAGAAGAAACGAAAACAGAGTGAAAGAGACCAATTCAATTGAGACAAAAGCTGGTCATATGGAGGAGCTTCAACCACTAGACGGAGAAAAACTAACATCTGGTTTAAAGGAACTTCAACCTCGAGCTTTAACCCCTGTTCTTTTCTTTAACGCTGCGACTAGCAGCAGCAGCAAGAAAATACATAACAATGGGGAAAAAATAATTGAAATTTAAAATAGTAGCTAGTGAATTGTTCAGAGATTAAAAATGAGACGTAGCTATCGCTGTACCTTTTGCTGCTTGTCTAGCAACCTGAAAGACAAGTAGAAATTGTTTCACTGATGCAGTTTTGTCTATGGTTTCAAGTTCACGTAGCTGTGTGTTTGCTGAGTGGTTTATAATAACAGAGATGAGGGGAATGAATTTGAAACTGCTGAGACACAGCTTGAAATAGAGACGAAAGTTATCATGTGAACTCATTTTCCAAACTTATAAACATAACAAAATACCAATTCGATTGTCCATTCATAAAACCACAATTTCAGAAACAAACTTCAGAAACATAAACGCCATGAGAAATACAAACAATGGAACTCATCTCTAATGTTAGTGGTACACAAACAACATAGAACTTTCAGTTACGAGGCTTGCATTCATCTTAAATTTCAGCTCTTCCTCAATCTTCCCAAGCATTGCATTCATCTTAACATTAATCTCTTCCTCCATCATTTGCCATGTTTTTTTTGGAGCTCAAAGTTTTTTTTTTTTTTTTGGCTTAAAAGAGTTCAAAGTTCTCCATCATGGTCTTTCTGAGATTTTTGACCTCGTCCGCAAGTACCTTGTGCTTAGCATCAACCATTCTTATCTCATCAATAATAGATTTTCCTTCCCACACCAGCATCGACTTGAAACGCCAACTGTTCTTCTTCTCTGAGTCCGTCTGGAGGAAGATGAAGTGGAGCTGCTCATGTTCGAATTTCTCTCTCTGCCTCTGTCGAACCTTCTTCTTTTCCAGTCAAGCTTCTCTTCTCTCAGCCGCCCCTCTCTCTCTCTCTCTGTCTATCGTCGTTTTTCACACTAGCCGTAACCCTAAATGAGCAAAGATCCCCAAATCGATTTTAGTTTACAAAGTCGGGTCGGACAGGTCGGTCGGGTTGAAAACGCCAATAATTTGGGTAATCACTGCTGCTTCGTCGCGATTTGTATCTTAAATTATTATTTCAAAATTTGGATTAGAGAGGGGTAATTACGTAGAACTAAAAAGTTTGGGTGTTAATATGAAGCGTTTTATATGTTCAGGGGGATATATCAAGAACTTGATAGTCTGGGTGGGAATGAGTAGGGTTTAGCTATTTGCAGGGGGGAATATGCAGTCATCCCTTTTTTAAAACAATATAATTTTCAAAAACCACACCGAAGCTTTTTTAAAAAACGTCTTCATCAATGGCAAATGGTTCAGCTTCCTCACCGATCAAACCACACTTCTTCCAGCCTCTTCTTCCCGGATTCCACAACCACATTGTTAACCCTCTTCTCTCTTTCTGTGTCTCCGGATATACATGAATGTTTTTTTTTTAAATATTTCTATTGGTTTCTTTTGCTGCAGAACATTCCCATATCATTCTACTCAAAGCATATAAAGGGAGCAGCCAACAAGGGTAGTTCTAATGCAGTGGTAAAGCTGAGATCAGACGCTTCTGATTTAACATGGGAAGTGAATATGGACGGTCGGAGACTCACCCATGGCTGGGAAAAGTTTGCCACCAGTCATGATCTCCGAGTGGGAGACATAGTCATTTTCAGACATGATGGAGATTTGTTGTTCCATGTCACACATTTTGGTCCTAGTTGCTGTGATATTCAATACAATAATGATGGTGATGATGATGTCATTCTGATATCTTCTGGTACAAGCTCAAGATTCTGTTTAGATTCACATAGTTTCAAAGTTGAAACAGATTCAGATTCAGAGAAGTATCATCAACAACAACAACACACAAGAAAAGCAAGATCTTCATCAGACAACTCTTGCTTTGCAGCTCGTGTCACAGAGTCAAACCTAAGAAAAGATTCACTGGTGAGTAATGAAAGAATGATTCTGCATTTTGATTTAACATCTCCTTAAAACCAAAATCATAAAACTACTACTCTTTTAAAAACTCTGCAGTTTCTTCCAGTACACTTTTCAAGGTCTAATGGTTTGGTGAATCGTGAAGGCGAGATCATTCTCTTGAATGAAGAAGGGAAACCATGGACATTGTTTCTGAAATACTACAAAACAAGTGGTTATGTTTACATCAGAAACGGCTGGAGAAGTTTCTGTCAAGCTAACGGGAAAAGAGTCAACGATGTATTGACTTTTAAACTTGTGCAAACAGGGACAAAACCTGTTCTTCAGTTGCGTGCGTCCGGGTACTACAACCGAGATTGTCTCCGAGTTTCTTCATCTCCAACAAGCCAAGACAGATTCTTGACACTAACTCTCACACCATACAATCTCAAGAGCTATAAACTGGTAAATTTTCATTAAATTATTTCAGCATTGTACAGAGTTGTGTTAATGTTTTTAAGTGTATATGGCAGTGTCTACCGGTGCCGTTTGTGAAGGCGAATGGAATCAAGAGCGTAAGGAAGATAACCCTTGTTGATAGATACGGTGTAAGAAGTACAACGAGTCTTAAACCTGAGGACGAATATGGAAGAATGAGATTAGGAAAAGAGTGGATAAAGTTCTGTGAAGATAATGGAGTGAAAGCTGGTGAGTCTTTTCGGCTAGAATTGATCAAAGAGAAAGACACAGCTAATCATCTACTTAAGTTCTGTTACACAGTAATATATTCGCTCTGAGTTGGTTGTGCTTGTGTAATAATACCTACTTGCAATGTTTATTTTTATTTTTCTTGGCTTACTTATATTATATTATTATGCAAGGCTTTTAGCAGTTTAGCATGGACAAAGGAACAAAAAATGTTATGATGTTATTTTGAAAGTTCAATGGCATTGTGAACAAGTTATTAATCTCATCAAAAGGTTTCTTTGGGAGCACACAATTGGTTTAAACAGATTAACCATCATGTTCGCCTGATTCTATAGACATTGGTGTTCGAGTTGGCTAGTTCCTTTGATGTTCCACCTCAGACTCATCATCCATTAAGTGTTGAGAACCTTCCAAGATTTGGCTTCATATCTGTTTCTGCTCTTCCCCAAGATTTAACACCTCTTGGCCCTAATAAAAGCTAATGGCTAACAAATAATATAATGCTTTTCAGATGTATGATGAGAAACATGCTGAGAATACCTAGTGAGGTAAGATTCAAGTGGGATGCTATTTCTAAACATAAGTCTTTTTTGTGGGTTTTATAAATTTATACATATGCACAGTATTGTAAAAATCGGTCTAGACGCAGCAAATCAGGTATGAGTAAAACAATTTTTCAAAAATTAATTTAAGCATTTAAAAAATAGGTCTAGACGTCCACCTAACGAGTAATCCTTTATAAAATCTTTAACTAGTGTCTAGAGATTTTTAGAACATTTCCTATGCAACCAATATGAGACATCAGCAAATTGCCTTAAGCATTTTTCCTTTGTCTCTTCAACTAAACTAATCTACAGTATCACCTCTATAAATTAGTACTCGATAAATTAATCTCTATGAATTAATAAATTTCATCAGTCCCAACTTGGCCAGTGTAAAATATGATACAAATCGATAAAATAATAAGATAATAATATTTTTAAAACTTCCATGTAAATATATAATCTCATTAGAATCATAAATTAATAATCTATCTATATATAAAATTTTATATAAGTACAATCTAACATTATATTATTGGTTTTATATTTACAATAAAAATATTAATATTTTGATAATATTTAGTTAAATTACATCGAAAATCACATAAAATTATATGAAACATAAAAATATACACTAAATAAGATGCTAAAACATTATAAAAGACAAATTTCTAAAATTTAAATAATGTACATATACTAAAATAAAATATTTATTATTTATTTTATAAATAAAAATGGAGAAAATAGAAAAAATCTAAATAAGGAAAATTAATAAACTAATATTTCTAAAGTGGTGATGTAAATAATTTACATCAATTTATGAATAAATTATATATAAATACTAAATATTTACTTATTCAAAACATATATGCTTAAATAAGTCATTCTAGCCGAGATTAAAAATCAAATCGTTAATTGTAATTTACGAAACTTGGGACTGGAATAGCTTAGTTAATGATAATATGAGATATATCTAACCTATTAGTTTAGGATTCTATTTAAATTTTATCTTGGTATGTTTTTAATTTGGACATATTGAGATGTTGTGACTAGATATTTTTTTTTGTTTTGTTTTTGACAACAGATGTTGTGACTAGATATAAAGACATGCTTCTTATACAATTTTATATTTGATCATATCTTCAAAATTTTAATCTATGTATTTCTATTTCTAATGGTTTCATTAATATTATTTTAGTTTTAACATAGTTTTACCTAATCTTTCTTTTGACAGCAATAGTTTTATCTAATCATTAGATTAAACTTATATCTAATCATTTTAAATTTATTCTAGATTTTGACTGTGCGGATGTTTGTTTTCGTATATAGTTTGTTATATAAACATTTTGTTTTCACTTATAAATTGGTATATATTATAGTAATCACATATTTACGATATGTATAGTAAATGTTTTTCAAACATAATAATATTATATAATACGTGTTTTAATCAAATAGATTGTTTCAAATCTTTTATATTATACATGTTTTTCAAATATGTGTTTATTTCTTCTTCTATATTTTATTGTTTGTTAAGATTAGTATTTCATTTTTAGATAAAGTAATATAAATAGAGCTTGATTAAATATAAGTATACTTTAATTTACAAAGATAATATAAATTTCGAAGAAATTTTTACTAAAAACTAAACTTATAGCTTCATAAATTAATATTATAAAGAATTTTATTAAATAAATAATTTTTTAAACAATTTCATTTTAAAAAAATATATAATTTTAAAAATTTACATCAAAATAAATTTATCTAGTATATATAGCGTGTAAATTTTGTTAGGGTATATAAATATTCCATATTACGAATCTGTGATTTTTGTTAATATATTGTGGATGGATTTAATTATTATTGACATATTTCCTTATAAATAATAGAAGATTCCTNTTTTTTAAACAATTTCATTTTAAAAAAATATATAATTTTAAAAATTTACATCAAAATAAATTTATCTAGTATATATAGCGTGTAAATTTTGTTAGGGTATATAAATATTCCATATTACGAATCTGTGATTTTTGTTAATATATTGTGGATGGATTTAATTATTATTGACATATTTCCTTATAAATAATAGAAGATTCCTAAACTTATATCTATTGACATATTTTGCGTGACTAAGTAGGAAGGTGTTGGGTAATTTACCAAAACCAAATTGTTAAGCATATCTTTGTTATTATAAATATGATTTTTCATAAGATATAATAATGATAAGGTTATTAGAGAGTTAATGTAACATAACTTTCTAGTAATAGTCCATTTTTAAAAAAAATCACACATGAAGTCAAGTCATGACTTCTGTTTTAATATATAAGATGTAGATCATTTACCAAAAAATATTTTTTTATACGTAGATCTCAAAGTTTACAATTCCCCCCACCCCCCCCAAAACATCCAAGTCTTTATTCGATTTCAAACATAAGGTTAAAGACTTTTAACGAGGTATTTTCGTTAGTAAAAGTAAATCGTAGGATTAAAAAGACTTTTTCTAAAGAAATATGCACTGATCTAATAACACGTGTTCTCAAAACCACTGTTTTAGACTTCACTTATTTGGCAAATATCATTTGTAAATACAAATTGTTTTCCAAGAAACTTTTCTCTTTTTTTTTTTTTGAACAAATTGTTTTCCAGGAAAATATCGATAATATTATCTCTCTCTTTTTTTTGTAACACCTACATTGAGGCTACAATATAACATTGATACAATTTAACATTTTCTTATGAAATTCTAAGACAGTACATATTATAAAACAGGTGATAGTATAATTTGAAACAAACGGTGGACCAGCTTCTAAAATTCTAAATTTTACTTATTTCATCTGCAAATTTATCACAGATGTATCTTATAGTCTAGATATATGCACATAAGGAAGGATGACACGAAGATATTACTTTCTGATATGTTTTTTAGACCCTTGAAATCGGAGAGAAAGTGACATTAGGCATGAAAGACGACGACATGACTTCTTCTCTGTTCACCGGAGTTGCCATGTCGATAAGCTCTCTAAGTGAACTACATCTAGACAAAGAGTTGCTTCTTTCTCCTCTAGATACTTCAGTTCTGTGCAGCTCAGCGACACATACTGAGAACGCTTGTAATGCTGAAAGCTTTGCATGGAAGTTTACCTCGTAATGTCCTTCTCTGATGAATACCATTGTCATTGCTGGTGTGATCTCCTTCTCTCCCTGAAACACAGTTCTTTTACATCTCAAGATCAAAGAAAGACAGGTTGAATCACACTTTGTTAGAAAAAATATCTTTTACCTCAATGAAAAGCTCCAAACCGTGGTGATTGTTGATGAGTTCTTGTTCTTCTAAGACAAAAAGGTGACAACCCATGTCCCATCCGCTACAGTCACATCCTCCACCTGATCTCCATCTCTGTAGTATCGGTGTAGGGCATGATTTTTCAGCATCAGGCAAACCGTGGTTTCCTGTTGGAACTATAACTTTCATCTCTCGTCTAGAGAGTTTGCTGTTTTTCATGTACTCAAAACTCTCATTGCTAGAAGAAGAAGAGTCTCTAATAACAATTGCTGCAATCTCTAGACCTGGATGTAACTCTGTAGCCGGCCAAGGATCATATGATGATGATGCACTATTCTCTGAATGTTTTGAGAAACTACGAGTCAATCCTCTGCTGAAACTGTTCTGCCTTGGCAGCTTTAGGTTTGAGTCATTTGAGCCATCAGATACTCTGTTCTCTCTTTCTGTGTCCAATCCTCGTCTAAAACTGTTCTGTCTTGACAGTTGTTCATGCTTTAAGCCACTTCTTCGAGCACGTGCGATGTCAAAAAGGACGAATTCTGACATAGTTGATTCCACAGGATTTTCGTATGGTTCTTCTATCTCTAATGAGACTTGAGTTGAAACTTGCATCTGTCCTATAAGTGAAGAGTCTGTACCTGAAACATTCAACCGCTGTTCTCCTAGATGTTTATAGCTTCTACCACCAATGTAGCGAAATGAATAGATGAACCTAGAGTCATTATCATCCATCCATGTCCTAGCCATATACACATCATCCGGGTGGTTTAGAGAGAACGTGAAAACAGGCATCCCAAGTTCATATTGAATACTGAGACGGGCATGTAGATGAACAGGCGAAGAAGACTTGTTTCTTGAGAGTGTTTTTTCTCCTCCACTGACCTTGATTTCACCTGACTTTGGTATCAGAGGGTTACGATTTGAAAATGGATTGGGCATTTTCTTGATACGGCTAAACCAGCTTGAACTAGAAGAAGACTGGTTGCTTGGCTTTGAAGATTGCATAAAGGGGAGTTGAATTCTAGCAGAGAATGACTTTTGCAATCTCGGTTCCATGTTTTTATCTGACCCTAAAGGCTTAGCTGACCGTTGCTGTTGTTGTTGTTGTTGTTGTTGTTGTCTTCCGTTTGTTGTGAACCGTACCCCAAAGAAACCACTAGAAGAATATTGCTCCACATAGAACTTTTCAGCATCTGATATGTTTCTTCTTCTGCTTCTTCCCTGATTGAAGAAACCATGTCTCTCTTTCGCCTTGTTTCCAGGTTTTGTAGGTCTTGGTGGAATGTTCTTGCAAGAGGAGTTGAGGACCTGATGAAACATAAACTCATCCTCTTCCCCTGGCTTTTGGGAGTTGAAGAAATCACGTAGAGTTGGGATAACGTTCTCAGAACACTGTGCCATCTTTGCTGCTTTCTGTAGGAATTAACTAATCAATATTACCATCAGAAAAGGGCCAAAACTTCTGCAGAGAATTTGATTAAGACATCAGTATTGTAATGCCAGTTCCATGACTAAACCTAGGAGCCTTTGATCATCATGGTACATAAGAGAAGATAATGTAGCAAACAGATAAAGCAGATGAATAAAATGAATGGGTCAAGGCAAGGATCACTTACCAATCACTCCTTAAAATTGATAGAAGAGCTAACGAGGATGAACAATCTGACTACAACTTCTTGAGGAAACTATCGCTGTTCATGAACCTTTTACACAAGAGAAGTTTTTTTTTTTTTTGTCACACACACAAGAGAAGTTAAAACTGCAAATCTTGATAGAGAAGTCTAGATTCAGCTACGCTCCTGCAGATCTAAAGGGCCACAAGTAACATAGGAATCAAGTAGTTGTGAATGTAATGAAAGCAACGGACAAAAGTTGTCTAAAAAATTATATAAAAAAGACAAAGCTTTGGATTCACTTGCATTCTAAGCCAATCATAGAAAGGGTGTGTAAAAAGACACAATCAAATACCAATTGATGGTTTCAGAGTAGTGTTCCTGAAGAGTAGTACCAAAAAGCAGATGCAATCAGTAGCCCAACTAAAAGCAAAATGATAAATAATATCCTGAACGGAGAAGCCTCTAGTAAAAAAAAAATTTTAAAAAACTTTTCTGTACATTTTTTTAACAAAGAGAAGCCACATGTGTAGTGTTTAAATGGCTTTTCTTTTCCTTTTATCCATTCTCAACTCGTTTCTTAGTTTTAGCTTTTACTTTCCTTCGTATTCTTCCCAAGGTCAGCAAGGACATGGATTACTTGACACATCTATTTTTAGAGACTCCTGAATCTCTCATGAAAGCAAAAAAAACAAATGAAGAATGGTCTTACACCTGAAACAAAAGATAAACCCTTTTAAATGATCCTTACAAACAAGAAAATTACCTCTCTTTGAACATTAAAGGTAAGTAAAACAAGCAAAGAAATGCAAATAAGCAGCCAATGACACAGCTAAAAAGTAATCGCAAATCATCGATTCCTCTTAACATTCAGAGAGAAAATGTATGTTACAAATTCCAACATAAGAATCAAAGTTCATATTTCCAGTAGAAGATCTGCTCAGTTAGAGGAAAGTAAAATCAAATCAAGGCCGCTCTTAAATTTATAAGAAACGTAAGGTAGCAGAAGAAAAACAATTTCACAAGGGTCGGATAGTGATTCTCGCCGGTGACAGGTGTGAGAGAGAGAGAAGAAGAAGCAGTGAAAACAAATAATATCTTTAATGGGCTTTAACATAAACTTAGAGGATGGGCCCAATTTGGAAATAATTTTATAAAACTACTTGTGGTGAATTGTAAAATATCCATGGGTTCAAACTCGGTTGGCCCGGTTTTGGTCACTTTTGATTAGATTTCTTTTTCCCAAGTTCCAGCTAGTTACTTTTTAATTTTTATCATGTGACTATTTTTAGCTTCTTATGGTAACTATGAATATGCTTGTATTTGCGGGGAATGTATGTGAGATATTGAGATATTGAGATCTGGAGAACAAAAAGACGGCCAAAATAGAGATCATCAAAAGGTCAAAATACAAAGTGCTCTCTTTACATATTATTGTAAAACATTGATTACAAATCATGGAACCCATCAAAGCAAATCCACAATCACAACATTCCCAATCTATTATCAAATCTCCATCAAAGATTCAAAGTATGCACCTTTTTCTTCTGTATAATAGAGAAATAGTTCATGCTAGTAGCCCAAAAAAAAAATGCACACACACTACAATTTGCGGTATAAGACCAAATGAATGCATCAAGTATTAGAAGAAGAAAAAGAGGAAAGGGTAGTACGAGAACCAAACAAGAAACTGACCAGTGATGATAATGATGATGCACACGATATGAGAGCTGTGTAGTAGAACTACTCTACAACGATAACCATTCTTCGTGTTGGCTCTCTTGTTTTCCTCTTTGTGCTTTAGTTATCATCATCATAGAGCGTTTCTTTTGCTTTCGAGCATTGATCCGTCTTTAAGAGCAGCGTGAGCTTCGTTCTCTTGTCCTAGAGCTGAGAGAGCTACAGCTTGTAGATAAGATGCGATATGCCAAGCAGGAGATATCACTTGGGCTTGCATTGCATCATTCAATGCCTCTTGGGGAATATCATTCATCAGGTGACACAGACTTCTCCTTGCGTAAACAGTTGGGGAAACCATTGTCCCTCCCTCTATAAACTGTCAAAACAAAAAATTCTTAGGATCAAAAACTGTCCCTATGATTTGAGCACTAGAAGTTATCAGGAAGACTGGATCTAACCTGAGAATAGCATTCGGCAGCATTTGCAAAATCTTTGTGCCGGAAAGCAACATCACCCTTTTTCTTGAAGTTCAACGAGTCCTGCATCTGGTTAGTCCACATCTGGAACGAAAGCTGAACATTTTGCAGCAAACAATGCAACAGGCAAACCAAAAAGGTGATCAGATTACACTCAAATCAAGGACTTGCAATGAGACAATTACGAAAATGAGTAAGAATAAGGTGCTATCAAGAAAGGAACCTCTGTGGCTGTCCCCTCATCATCTTTATATCCAAGTTTTTCAAGAATCTCATGTATGGCAGTTAGATCTGTTCTTATGCATGCATCTCCAAGTGGTGAAAGAGGCGTTGTTGAGGCACTGCTTGGTATTCCCATCAGTTGATGTGAAGGAGTCTTTACATGATAAAATACACAAAACGTCTCAGCCAATAGATACAAGAGCTTGAGAAAGATAAAACAAAAGTGGTTGTAGGTAAAATACCTCAAGATCCTTCTGAAGAGGAATCATTGCAGTGACTAGAGATTTTGGGTTAGGCCGTTCTCGAGGCTCATACTGCAAGCATCTAGAAGCTAACCGTACTAGTTCAGTCCCGTCATCACTTGAAAATTGACCCTCCAAACATGAATCTATCAACATCTGAATGTTCCTATCCCGTATGAGGTCCAGCGCCTAAGAATACACAGTATAAATAAAGTTAAAAAATTAGACTAATGCACTCTTTCTCAAAAATGATTTGGTAGAGAGTGACTGATTTAGTATCTTAAACCATAAGCTTACATGGCTTGGAGGAATGTGTTTTCCACTAAGAAGATCAAGCAACAGAGTTCCATAACTGTACATCACACTTTCTGGTGTCACGCGACCTGTAGAAGCAACACACACACAAAAACCATTATGTATTAAAAAAAAGAACTTTTGGCACGGTACAAATAAAGCAAACTGATTATGCAAGTGTTTAAGTATATATACCTGTTCTGAGATACTCGGGAGGAGTGAAAGCAAGGTTGGTACTATAACTCTTTCCATCTCTACTATTTTTCATCAGACCAAAGCAAGAAAGCCTTGGATTCGAGTCCTAAACAAAGTAAAACACCCATATGATGCAGATATCAACTAGGAAAGAAGTAAAAACAAATAGGTAACCGTAACTTACATCATCAAAGAGAACTCTATAAGCATTTAGGTCATGGTAAAGTGCACGTCCTTTGGCAGTACAATATTCCAAAGCTTGAGCAATATGCAAAGCTACTCTTAGTCGCATTGCCCACTTCATCGGTTGTGCCTCCCCTGAAACATATCAACAGTTTTATCTTACATACTGTGAGACCACAAGCTTCATGAAGAGAAGGGAGCTGATTCTTACAGTGGAAAAGATGCTTAGCCAAAGTCTCGTTAGGCATAAACTCAGCAACAAGAAGTCTCTCTTCACCTTCATAACAACACCCAAGCAGATTTGCCATCCTATAGTTCCTTAACTGACCAACAGCTCTAGCTTCCTCCTATTAAACATCCATATAAATTCAAAACCCAAGAACCCAAATTGCATAAAGGTAAGAGCTTTAAGCAACAAAGATGTATACCAGAAACTGACGAGAATCAGGCCAAGCTCTCCTATTAAACCTTTTAACAGCAATACGTCTCTGATTATCCAACTTCCCTTTGTAAACAACATTAGGAGCTTTCTCTCCATGCTCTGATACTATATTCTCTGTAGCAAAACCTGAAGTAGCGTTCCTTAGCGTCTCTATAGAGAATTCACGAAACTGAGGCAGATCAGTATTCCCTTCACCAATCCTATCATCACCACCTGACAGAATAACCAAAATCCACGATTATTAATAACAGAAGGGTCAAAATGGATCAAAGCTATATAAGTTTTTTACCTAAGGATGTGACTCCACGATTGGATTCTTGAGGCTCTGAAACGCAACAAAATGCACATAACTTTGAAACCTCACACCCCATTTCAGTCAAAACATAAACCCTAGACCAAATCAAAGCTTAGGAAAATACAGATCAGACAAAACACAGTTTGTTGTGATGTGTCTTGAACTAGCAAAAGGGGTCGTCAAATCGAGAAAACGATCGGTGAAAAAAGGAAGTAGAGCAAAGAAGAAGGAGAATAAAAGGTGAAAAGTTGAAATGAGGAATCGAGCCGCTCGTGTGAGTGTTTAGCTCGAGGGAGAGAAAAAGCTCAAGAACCGAAAACTTTTTCAGGAAGACAAAAGCAGACAACTTTGTCCAGAAAGATAAAATTAATAAAAAATGGAAACTTTTTTGGGTCTAAAAGTGTAGAGAGAAAAGAAAGAGAGAGACACAGCAAAGCAGCAGGCCTCTCCTCTCCTCACCTCACCAAGTCAACTCACCAGTTGGGTCAAACAACTCATCTTAGTTTTCATACACCTCTTAACAACCATTATTTTTTCAGTTATCCAAAACATTTATCTGCTCACGTTTTGTTCTAGCTCCTATGTTTTGCCAGATACTAATGCATTATACATGTGTCTCTACAGTAAAATTATTAAACTGACAAGAATAATGTTGGTGACTTTCACCTGAGTAAACCAAACCAAAACTTGCTCACATTTTTTTTTCTAAATATAACAATTATATACAACCTAGGCCAACGTTTTGAATTATTTATGTTATTGAACGCTCTATAAGACTGGCCTAACGGGCTACAAACAAAATTCCTTTAATATTTTTACAAACAAAAATATTATGTGTTTTCTCTTGTTAAATGTTTTGATTTATAGTATTTATGATAACTAGAGCTATTTTTCGTGCTTCACGCGGATTATTTATTTTGAATTGTTAAACCTATCATTTTTACTTGTCTGTCTATCCATTTCATTATGGTCTAATATATCATCCTATGGTAATAAAATATGTATACCTTTAAAAAAAGAGAATGCAATTTTTCTTTAGAAAAAAAAGAGATAGTGTGAAATGTGTATAGTGTTTTAATCTAATACCAACTACTAATCTGGAACTCAATCCTAAGAATATTGTCAATGCATTTATTCCTAGAAATGGAGAGTTCTGATTTTCTACAAAAAAAAAACTCTTATAGTTGGAGTTTTTGTTACTATAAAAACCTAAATAAGGTCATTTCTCCAAAAACAAACTTAAATAAAATTAAATAAAAATAACGTGATAAACACACTAAAATATAAATGTAGTTCGAGGTTTTTTTATGTTTTATTTGTCCTTTAACTCCGTTTATTTTTAATTTGGTCATATAACATTTTGTATGTTCTCTTCCCCCAAAAGTTTTTGCCTTTCTAAGAGTTGTTGAAATAAACTCTTTTGATGGTGTTGAAGCTAGTTTTAGTTTTCCTAGATTGTTTTTAATTAGGTTGTATATATTGTTGATGGTAAATATATTTATGATTTCCTGCAAAAATCTTAATTTCTGATAGGCACCTAGTAGTTGTCCAGATAATGGTAGTAGAGGACATCCTTGGTCTGGTTGCTGTTTTTAAATGCGGTGTCAATGGTCACCTGGCTCAAGACTGCAATATCAAGAGACTGGAAGAACAAATGTAACCGATATGGTTGAAGAGGACACTCTGAGAGAAACTGCAGAAACAATCCATGTCGAAAGAAGGCCAAATACTTAATTTAACATACTTATAATTAAAAGCTACTTTTGGTCACCACTCACCTGTTAAATCCGTAGAAAAAGCCGAAACCGTAATCTTAGTGACAGTCGTGGTCGTACCTACAGGTTAGTGACTTAGTGGTAAATTTGGAGTTCTGAGAACTTTTGCTAGTTCTAGTTTTTTAAGCATGAACTCGATAATTTTTCTAGTGTTTACAATCTTATTTACTAATGCAATTTTGTTTCATCAGTCGCTCACGATCGCTGGTGAGAAAAGAGAGAAGTGTAGAGGATAGGTCACTCAGTCAGTCCTAGCAATGTAGTGATACATGTTTTTCAGAGTACCAAAGATTGATCATTCAAAACTAAAGAGTCATAGAAGGACGCCCAAAACGTGAAAAGCAAGATGGATCAGACAATGGACATAGCTCAAAAGAGAGGGTAATGGCAATAACTCTGCGAGTCCCATTGTGGGAGGTGAAGAAAGTCCTTCCAGACTTGATGTTCAAGACATGACTCCCATTGATGATGATTCTGAGCTTAACCGTCTTCCCCTACAGCCAGGGAGTCACCTTAATGGCTCATTTCCCCCAACAATTTAAAGCTCAATGCATCCATGTGTATAAATGGATGATGTTGTTCCTTCCTCGAGTTGCTTTATTTGACTCCACACAGCTTTCAAACTGCGTTATGTTTCAGAAATTTGCTTCGGCAAGACATTTATAATATTTCTCATTTGTAGAGAGAAAGAAGAAAGCATAGACTATTTTGTTAGCTTCTTTAGTTGTTAAACATTTGTGACAAAATGAAAATGGTATGAACTTGTATCTTTTTATTGAACATGGATTATTTTCTCTCTATTTAAGACCAAAACAAAATGTTTGTGAGATAAAGGAGGTGGGCTTGTACATAAGGGGTGCCATTTATTTACAGTGGCTCGATGTCATGCCATAGTGACCTTTGGCTGCTTCATTATATATATTCAAGGCCAAGTTCGTCCTCAACTTGGTCACCACCTTGGAACAGCTTGAGAAATCAAGCCTGCTCTAGATGCCTTTTTCTTTCCAATACTTATAACCTACAATCAGCCCACGTTTCCAGGATCTATTGCCTCGTTCTACTTCGTTGTCAGTAGCTAAATATTTATTTGAACCTGCAAAAAGAACGTGCAAACGATATCCCGTTCACATTCATTCCAATAACATAAATTAAACATGTATCTAAAATGAACAGAGAGATACATGGCTAGTTGGTGTTTATATTAGACCATGTGCGTAAGTGGGGAGGATAGAAGTTCATACGAAGCTAGATATTATTTGGTCGGGAGACTTCCACATCAAAAGAACACTCGAGAGGATCGATCTATCAACTGCTGGCTGTTCTTGTCCACTTTCCATGTACTTATCTAAGAGAGGTATTAAGGCCTATAAACTTAAGAACACTTGCAATGGACCAGTAAATAATAAAAAAGTCTCTAAAGAAAGTCCGAGAATGAGAATCATGTCACAGAATCAGATTTATAAGTAAAAATCAGACAATTATTCTCCAATTAATGAGTAAAAACATATTATGCACATCAAATCCCATGATTTTTAAAATTATTATTCACTCTACATTTGCGACAAAAAGCTTTGCTACTATTAGTGTGTGGGCAAATAAGAAATTTGTGCATCAGTTCATACTTTGAGAACTTTCCTACCTGATGAGACCATATATGAAACCCTGCAAGAAGGTCGTAGAAAGAAAAGAAAGCATACATCTTATTCTCAAGCAAGAGGAGGTTACCGGAGACAACAGAGAAGAGGAAGGTAGAGCCAAGTCCTATGGTATCGCTAAAACTCTCGAGTACTATAATCCTTTTAACATCAAAAAGAGAAACAAAATGTTTGTAGAAGATAAATTCAAAGGATAGAATCAAGAAGACAAAATAGAATACATAGCATAAAAAACAAAACAAAAAGGGTCGCTGCAGCTGCATCGGACAGCCTTCCAAACATAATAAGTAGGGTTGATCAGACCTTTAAATCTAACACTGACCAAGAAGGTATGTCATTCAAAAGGGAATAATTCATAAGAGAATAATCAAACGGTCAGATTGACAATATATAACCATATAATTTGAAGGAACTGATTATACTACAGTATCAAAAGATCATAGCAGAGCAATACAAGATTATAAATGTTTATATATCTTTCGGATTCAGTTAGTTTATTTGGATTTCAAATTTTTAGAGTTATAAATTTAATTTTTATTCGAATATTTACAAATTTTGGTTTACTTTTGGTTAGAGTCATTTCGGGTTTGGTTTAGATTTGGGTCTGGATATCCATTTTAATTACATAATTTTCAACAAAAATTCAAGGGGTTTTGCAAAACCAACCCAAAAATTCAAGTCAAACACAAAACCAACCTCTTTTTTTTTTGTCATTACTATTCACTCTTAAAAAACCTACTCTCCTCATGTTTCTAGCTATTTACCAAATTGCCATTATTATTAAATATGATATTATTTTTGAAAATTATTAAAAACCTATTACACCCTAAACATTTCTCCTTATTTACCACAATGCCATTGTCATAAATATTTGCAACCACCAAAAACCACCATTGATGAGCTCTTTAAGCTTGTGTTTATGAATTTTCAACCACTTATTTCACTTTCTAAACAAACAATACTTCATTTACTCTCATTTCCTCTCTATTTTCATCTAAACAATCATCATAACTCTCATTTTCATAAACACAAACTTCATAGTTTCGATTTTATTCACAAGTGAATCGAAAGGTTGCTTCTTATGCTCATATTTGGATTCTGGACGGTGGAAAAGCTTGGAAACAAGCTTTAAACCGGTGTCAAGGTAACTATTTACATGTTTTTCGTCATATCTCTGATCTGTATCGCGAAAGTAGACTGTATTATATGTCTACACTTACGTGTAGACTTACGATGCAATCTACTTGTCAACGCACAGGTTACTTTTGCAATTGACCAAAATAATTTTTTTTTGTAATGTAGACCTACAAGTACGTCAACGTCTTTACCTTTGAAACCAAAAACAAAAAAAATTAGTAGACTTACTAAGAAATCTACATAAAAGAGGTTAGATTTACATTTGACCAAAATTTTGACTTACCATAGTAGACTTTCTTGGAAGTCTACACTTTGTAGACTGCTAGGGAAGTCTACGGAAGGTCAGTTTTGCATTTGACCAAAACTTTGACTTTGTTGCATAGGTTTCTTTTGTATTTGACTAAAATATCTAGAAACTGACTAAAACTTACTTTATGTGTAGACTTCATATGCAGTCTACAAATCTTAGGAAAAAAAAGTAGACTGCATATGAAGTCTACTATTTTATGTTGGTCAATTGCAAAACTAACATGTCAGATTATAGTGTAGACTTTTACTGCAGTCTACAGTTACGTAGACATTTAGTTTTGTCTACTAGTAGAAAGTCAACTTTGGTCAATTGCAAAACTAACATCTGTCAAACAAATTTAAAAATGTAGACTGCATAGTAAGTCTACTTCTAAAAGTCAAACTCTGAACGAATTCTAATCAATTGCAAAACTAACCTTTTTAAAAATGTAGACTAAAAAATAAGTCTACTCGTATAAAATCACATCTTTTTTTTCAAATACAGAAAGTAACCCGTGAATTTGGCAATTGCAAAAACCAACTTAAATGTAGACCTAATTTGTAGTCTACAAAATGTAAACTGAATAAAACGTTCACGCG